TTATATATGGTCTCTATTCCCAAAGGAAAAGTTGTAGAAATTAGATTACAGAGAAAAATTATAGGCAAATTACAAAAGAAAGAGCTACCGTGGAATGGGTATGATATGTGCGTGAGGAAGAGGTTTAACAGTCTTCAAATGTCTGATATGTTCTATGTAAGAAAGATCAAACATATCTTGTGGCATAGGTTGTAGAATTTGGTGTATGGCACCATAGGATAATACAATGTGGGCTATTATAAAGAGGACAATTCTAACATTCAGTTTTGGTCAAATATAGATTCTTTACTTCAGGAATCAGTGAATTCCTAAAGACATTCAAGCATAGATTTATGGATTGGCAAATTGGGTATTCAGAAATCATTGAAGCATCAAATAGTGTCTTAATAATATAATTGCTACTGTCCCTTCTAATTCTAAAAGTCTGTTATTCTATCCAGAGATAGTATGTATTGATTAACATATTTATCATCACCTTATATGTTCTCTTGGTGTTGAGCTGACATGTGTTTATTTTTATGATTATTTAATTTTATAGCCAATGTAAAAGCAACCATAGAAGTGGCCATTGCTATCATCAAGGAATTTAGAGATTGGCAGTCTATTTATCTCATTAAATGTGAACTCAGCCACATGTACAATTAGTTCTGGGCCCAATGCCCATATCTGTGCCTTAAATTTCAAAACTCTTCCATTTGAGGGCCCAATCCTAGCTTATCTTTTAGGCAGTGTTATTTCTAACAACATATGACATTGTTATTCTTTTTTCACTTACATTCTACTATTCATTCATTCATCATGCATTCATTCAATTTTCTATCTTTTCTTTCATTTTCTTATCTCTGTTTTTCCTTGTCTTTCTTTCTCTTTCTTCCCTTTAATAATTTCCCTTGTCTTTTTCTTTTTCTTTCTTTTCTTTCACAAATATTTGCTGAGTACCAGGCTCTCTTCCACTTGCTGGGAATACAGTATGGAACAAAACCGAGTAGATCCTGCTTCATTGAACTTATTTGCATTCAAGAGGAGAAAAAAATATAGTAGACAAATAAACAAATAATTATCTGATGGTAATAATAGTTGTGCAGAAATTAAAACAGTCTATGTGATGTATGGATTGCCACCTTAGATTGGAAGGTCGGAAAAGGCCTCTTTGAGGAATTAAAATTTAAACTGAGACCTAAATAACAGGAAGGAGACAGGTGTGCTCTTGGAGCTATGCTTTGCCATATTCTAGAGACAGTCAGAGAAGAAATCATACCAGGCAGAGAAAGCAGCTAGTTAGAGCTTGAGTTTTACTTGAGAAAAAGAAAGCCCAGTTTTCCTGGAGTTGAGAGCACAAGGAGCAATGTATATGAAGTTGGACAAATAGACAGGAAATAAACTATTTGTCTCCTAGGTCTTGGAAAAAAGCTTTATTTTAATCCAAGACATTGATACGTTTCAGCAGGAAAGTGATATTATCTAATATAATTTTTAAAGAAGTTACATTAGCAAGAATTTGAAGGAGTAAGTTTAAGTAAATAGGAGCAGGCAAACAAATTAGTCAGTTATACAGAAGTATAATTAATAGTTGATAGTAATTTGGAGTCTATGGCTTAGACTATGCTTCTCAAGCTTCAGTGTGGACATAAATCATCTATCAGTCTTGTTCAAATGCAAATGGTGACTTGATGGGATTGGAGTTGGATCTGAGATTCTGCATTTCTAACAAGTCTGAGGGTTATGCAGATACATTGCATAGCAAGAACTTAGATGAGGATGATTATCATGGTGAGAGAGCAACATGTATCAGACAGTTCTAACACTGTCCACTCCTCATGAGATGTTGTTCTCCGCTAGAATAATCATGATGTTGATAATCTATCTCAAATAACATAGTAACAGCTAAACTTTAATTCCATAAGACTGACTATAATAGTGGCAAATTTATGCGTGAAAGGGATATTTTAGGGCAGATGGATTTTTCTGAACTAATCTTGATGACAGTGATTAATTCTGTCAACTGTTAAGAATGGCTGAGTTATTGATGTTCATTATGATTTTATTGAAAGGATCACTGAATGAATGGATGAATGATGAAATCAATACTAAGTCCAATTTTAACTCATAATTATAACGTATACCCTAAATTCTATACCTTGAATGGATATTATTTTTAAATGCATCAAATAACAACAACAAAAAAACCCCACTAAATTTAGTTTTCCTTTATTTACAATGTTTCCAATCTCTGAAAGGCTAACCGATAGATGAAGGTAAATCAGTGAAAAAAGAAAAGTAATAGGGAGGTGGATGATGAGAAATTACTTAATGTGTACACATACATTATTTGGATGATGGGTACACTAAAAGCCCAGACTTTTCCATTAAGCTATAAATTCATGTAACAAAATTACGCTTGGGCCTCTTACATTTATAAACAGAAAAAAAGTATACAAAAATTTATTGCCAAGTCAAAAATCTCTAACCATCATCTTCTTATTTTTTTTAATTTTTTTTTTTTGAGACAGAGTCTTACTCTTTTGCCCAAGCTAGAGTGAGTGCTGTGGCGTCATCCTAGCTCACAGCAATCTCAAACTCCTGGGCTCAAGCGATCCTACTGCCTCAGCCTCCAGAGTAGCTGGGATTACAGGCATGCGCCACCATGCCCGGCTAATTTTTTTGTATATAT